GACAGTGTAATCCTACACATGGATGTCTACTCAGAAGTACATCCAGTTAACTTCTGTAGGCCATATTCCCAGATCAGAGTAGAAGACTGCAGTTGAAGACAAGAAAATGAGGGATGTTTTCCCTCCCTGAGGGAGAGAGTCTGCATCATTCTGCCTTCATTCTAAACATGATGAAAAAATATTCAACTCCAGCAGCTTCTGTATGGATTATTCTGCTGCAAGGGAGAGGAAGTGTCTCATAGCCCTCAGTTCAGGAGTTGAAGCATGATCCTACAAATGCGTGGGGGGGGGGGGATTGCATGGACTTTGAAGTACTGACCAGATACTTACAGCATAATGCTCAAAGGCCTATCCATCCTAACATGTATGCTTGACATTGCAGGTCATTTTTCTCTCTAAGCATGTATAGGATTGCATGTTTAGGATTTCAGCCATACACATTCAAACACTTTGAAAATTCACATGCCATCTGAAATGACACTCTAATTAGAGTGTCCATGGGCAGTTCCACTGATGAGCGGAATTGCCTTTAAGAAAAGAGGTGCTTAAGGATATTCATGGGAGGCACTTTCTATTCGGGGTTCAAACTCAGGCTATAGGGGAAACTGCCGGCACTCAGATGTGTGAGGAAAATGGCTCGCTCTCTCTTAGGGAGGGGAATATTCCGTATGCGCTCCATCCTTTCTAGCCTTATTTTCTGGGAAATAAGGCCCAGCTGCCCAAAATGGTAAAAGAAAAGCTCCTGGCCCAGTGTCCAGCTTCAAAATATGTCTGCGTCAGTGCATGTAGCTAAAAGTCCTATCCTAGTATCTTGCACCCCAATTTCTTATCTAATCTATTTGGAACACAGTTCCATTGATTTCAGAGAAGGCATTTACTTCCCAAAAAGCCTGCTTTGGGTGGATTGTATCCCGAATAATGTGCTGGAACTTGCAAGCCATTTTCACTTTCTCCTAAGACCGTAACATTAAGCTGCACGCAATTCTAGCAGAGGCTGGATTCACACAACCAGCTTCAACAGAAGCACTTGAGGAGTGTGAAGTGACTTCGGTGGTCCTAAACCTTGGCCATGCAGAGGGTGCTGTGAATCGGCGGAGCAGCTGAGGGTCCTAAAGGCCCTCAAAGTGACCGGCTCGGTATCTTCATCTTGGATCAGACCAAACAGGGGAGAGGCTCAGCAACAGCAGTGGCAACTCCCCCCACCGCCTGCTGGAGCTGGTCCCACTTTGCCCCATCTACCGTCTAGGTCCTGTCCCCTTGTTGCCTCAAAACTGGGCTGTTTGGTGCATAAAACCGAGGCGCTCCCCAAGGGGGCTGCTTCACTTGATTCTCCAGGGAGCATGCGCAAGCCAGAAGGCTCCAGAGATTAGGTAAGCAGGCCTGGACTGCATCAAGGTGTTGCCAGCACAAAGAAGCCATTCATGGGTAGCCATCAGCAAGGCCAGGTCCCAAGGTGAGGCTCTGACCTGGGCCAGCCTCACCTGCACGTCCCCAGCCGCCCTTAGTAGGTCGAGGCTCTGTGCCGGAAAGCAGGGCTTGCAAGCGGCGCTGGCTGGATTTCAAGGGCGGGGACTGGGCTCTGAGGCTGAAGGAGGCCGATTCCCTGCCGTCTTCCTCCATCCATCCACCCCTGCCCGCCCCTCCGCTTGTCAGCTCTGTTCCAAGGCCTCTTCCCAGCAGGGTGCAAACGAAGGCAGATTTCGAGTTTCTCCTCGTGCGTTTGCTGCTGTGCGCCCCCACCGCTACCTCACGCAGAGGCAGCGGGGGTGGGGGGGGCGCAGCGACAGGGCCCTCTGGGCGAGCCACCTGTGCCTGGCCTCCGTCCACTCCCTCCCACGCGGGTCTCCGACGCAGCCGGGGGGCCTCCAGGAGGCGATCCGCCCGCGCAAGGAAACCCGGCACGGACTCTGGTGGGCCGCGTTGGGATAGGAGGCCCTCTTGTCACTCAGGCACTATCACCATAATACAGACTGGTGCCCCTCACTGGATGTCTAGACTACAACTCCTAGCATCCCCAGCCACACCTGGGGGGTGCCACATTGGAAGGGCCGCCCTCCTATACAGCGGTGACTGACAGCACAAACTTATGCAGGCCTGCTCAGAAGTAAGCGCCACTGATTTTCAAGGGAACTTGCTCCTAATTAAGTGCAATTACTACAGAACTGCAGTAGTGTAAGAAACAGGCCATTTCCCCATTCCAGCCCTCTGGGGCAGCAACATCTGTCCTGCCAGAGAAGCACTCTCGAATAAAATCAAAGGGATAAACTTTCAGTTAGGTATTTTTAGGATCTGAGTGCAAACGACCCAACTCCAAACGCAACCACGGAGCAATGCTGTCTCGGAAGTCAGTCCCACCGAGTTCAAAGGACACTTTGTTCCTGTGTCTAGAAGGTCTGCTTTGATATTGCTGCCCCCACCCCCAAAATCTTAGGCATGTTTACTTGCACGCAGGCTCCACTCTGTTCGGTAGGGCGTCACTCTCACTTTAGCGTCGCTGCACAGGCTGACTGCGCTGTTCTAGCCACCATCCTCACAGGCCTCCCTTGCTCTGCTGAGATCAGAGCTTCTGCCCCCACAAAACACCATTTTAATGGCGTCTCTTATAAATGAATTGCCTCGGCCACCTTCGCCCAGCCTAACCCTGGCTGCTTCTACAGAAGAGTAGTGGCACTTCTTCTACTGCAGGCTGATCTGTGGTCTCTCCAGCCGAACCCGCGGGGTCTGAGACATGCCCGAGGGTGACACCCAACTGGCCGGCCTTGGAAACGCACTGAAAAATGCCCCATCGGCGCTGCCCCTTGCTCCCAAATCTACGCATTTTATCGAGGCCTCTAATCCTACAGGAGAAGAGAAGCTCAGTGGAAACGCAGGAAATTGCTTTGCCAGTGGAAATTGGACAGCAAAGAAAGAGCATCCATGGAAATGCCCCTGCTTTCTGCCCCTCTGGCTGCTTTCAAGAAGGAAACGGTAGGGGTTGAAAGAAGGGAACATTGAAAGAAATGACCAGAAATATAGGCCCACATAACCGCAAGGTTTTGCTATGCTACCCTTTACATGTCTGCTCAGACCTAGGCCCCACTACATTCAGTGGGACTTATTTCCAGGCAGCTACAGCCTCCAGTGAATATCCAGTGTCAGTCCCATGAAAGTTAGACCTACTGAAAGGAATGGGAATTACATTGTCTCATTCATTCAATGGCTCTATTTAAAAGTAATATTGGATACTACCCATTCTACGAGCACTGTTGATTTGAATGAAATTTCATAGTATTTGTACACGGACTCATAAAAAAGTCTACCTCTGAGGTTTGTGGCTTCTCCTGTTGCAGCCCTGAAATTGCAGTTTGCTCAACTGGCTAAACTGATGAAATACTGCTTGCTTCTTCCAATACTGCCCTCTGCTCTTGTATGTCCAAAACACAAAGGGCAGGAGTTGGGTGAAGTCTAAACACATCGTAACCCCATTGATTTCAATGGGAAGGAATTTTCAATGAGTGGAAACCATCTGCTTCATTTTGTGCTTTTAGAATAATTCAGTGGGGCTTCCTTTGTTATGCTGCTTTCTGGCTAGTGGACTCTTAATACGACAGATACTTCAAAATGTGCAAAATACATCTTGCATTCAAAAGGGACCCTAAAGGGGTTTGTGGATTCCTGCTTCCAGGTGGGTACATGACCCCATCGAAGGAAAGATCACCTTGCGCAAAAGCTACATGCTCCGAGCACTCTCCAGGTCTGGACAGACGCACTTTGCACAGGTCGGTGAGGGTGAGGGTGAAAGCGAAAGCTGTGCTCCGCAATCCTAACTATATTTACTCTGAAGGAAGCTCCACTGAATTCAGTGGCATTTACTTTATGTATATTTCAGAACAAGAGCCTTAAAAAGGAAACCATTTGATTAATAACTCTGTTAAAGTGAGGCATGTTGGACATTTTCTTTGGCCTTTTTAGTTCAATTATTTACTCCTGAATTTGTTCCCAGCTAATAAATTGAAATTCAGTTCAATTTAGTTTTACTGAATTGTGGATCAAGCTGTCAGTTTAAATTGTATTCCGTCTCTATGATCACGCTCTACGCAACTTCACAACTCCCGAAAAGTGGCCGATTAAATGAAGACATTGTCAACAGGCAAGGAGAAAATCTTCCGTCCAATTCCATAGCTAAAGCCTACATTCCCATGCAATCCTTTTCTCTAGAGGAAATACCGTGTACAGGATAAAACTGTTACGCTGAAGCAATTCCCACGGTATGCAAAGGTACTCGCTCAGCCGTAAGCATGCACTAGATTGCGCCCTTCACGCTGAACAGATACACACTTCAGAACATACATATGTAGACGTGTACTCAATCCAATCTACTTCTCACAACTAAAAGCATTACAACCCCTCCACCGAAAGACACACATGCACGCAGGGCCTTTTTTAAAAAGAACGGCAGTCATAATACATGCGAATGAGGTTACTTTCTCACGGAAATAAAGTCTAAGTGCAAACAACTAAAACCGGATACAACCTTCCCCAAATTTCCCAGCATTTTCTTACTGTTTAGCAGTCACCACTTAGGTGAGAACATGCCCAGCCAGCTCTTAATTAAATTAGTCCACCTTTATTTACTGTTTGTGGCCTTTAACAACCCAGGAGCAATGCCTGCCCAGTGTTGCCGTAGATTAGACCGCCTGAGAGGAGGCCACTTTCTCCTGAAAACGGGCCGGGGGCTCACGGGAGAACGTGTGGTCGAGCCAGCCCCGTGGCCCCTCTCCTGTCAGAGGGCAAGCCCTCGCAGGTACAGGGGGGCTGCCTTCCTCTGGCCATTTGTGGAGCGGTGGGAAAGGTCTTCCCCACTGCTCTGCCAGCCGCCCCAATTCACCTGCAGGCGAGTTTCCCCCTCCGACCACCCGGTGCTGCGACAGCATTCCCCGGAGGGAGTTTCTTCTGATGCTAAAAAGGTGGAGGAAGGTGAGAGGGACTGCTCAAGCTAGGTACAAGCAGTGAGGCTGTGGTCAGGGGAACAGTTTGCCATCTAAATTCTTTCCACTCAGACTCACTCCCTGGAAAAAGAAAAAAAAAAACGGCAAAGACTCTAGCGTGGCACCTTAAAGACTGAGTCATTTATAAGGGCATCCGCTTTTGTGGGTCAGAGAACTGTACGCTGTAATAAATTGGTTGGCCTTTATGGTGCCTTGGTTTTGTTTGGTTTTTTTCGCTCCCTGCAAAAAAGGAACTTGGCCATCTCTTTGGAAATAGGAAAACAGCGACTGCAGAAGTCTCTTAACAACGAGCAATCTGTCTAAACAGAGAAAGAGGAAAGAGAATCCCTACACGCCGAGTAAAGGCCTCATTTACTTTTAGGTGAACGGTTTTAAGATGCCAGTCAAGAAGCTTAAAACATCAGCACTACCTTTTACAGAAAGCCTGGTGACCATTATGATGTCTTGCATTTACTGATTATATTATTTGAACAGAAAACATATTGGTCCATATTTATAGATATAAAAATTAGGCTGTAATCCCACGTATGTGGAAGAAAGCCCTGAAAACATCCTAAGGTTTATTTTGGGGTATATGTGCAGAGAACTGGGCAATTACAAACCCTTCATAGTATAAGTGGCATGCAAAGATTAGTACCTGGAAATTATGAACTTCTCGATCTAAGAGCTCAAAATGTGCTGCCTTTTTATGACGCTGGTATCCCCGAACCATTTATATCAAAAGCAGCTAGGGTGGCCTGGTAGATCGTTTTTTCCTCGTTACTAAAAAGTCAATCAATAACTACAAGACTAAAAGCTAACAACACCTCCATCTATAAACCAGTTGAAGAAGCTCTAGTTTTTTAAATTAATCCCAGCCTTATTCAAGATAAATTTGATTGAAATCAATGGTGTTTATTTACAAGCGAAACTGTTCAGTGCTGATGAGATCAGCTTAAATTCAAATGGTAGCGGTGCTGCAGAGGTTATCTCCTCCCCATTTTGTTCAGTTGGAACAAGGAATTCCAGCATCTACATTTTTAATTATTGAATATATATAAATATATATAGTTTGTAAATAGGGATTAATATAGCAAGAGCAAATGGTCTCAGTCCAACTGAATGGTAATTTATTAATAAACAAGTCAATAACGTCAGGATATCTTCAACAACAAAAAAGGTAAAACGATAAAATAAGATTAATACAATTTCCCTTTTTCATATATAATGAAAGAAAAAAAAATCAACGTTTCAGGTTATTTTGAATTCAGTTTTTTGGATGGGAGAGGAAAAGAACACTTTCCGGTGTTTGGTCCAAACGATCCAACTACAGATTTAAAAAATAAATTACTATGCATCCATTTACACTTTAAAACAAGTCCTTGCTATTAAAAAAGCCCTTGTAAAGAGGCCGAGAAAGGAGAGGGGGTGTTTCCCCCTTCCCATGGGTGTTACGTTTCCTCTGCCGCGCAATCCATGCCGTCAAGAAGTCGATGCGAAAAGTCGCATTGATCAGAACGAGCCTGGATTGCGCCGCCTCGGAGCCGCGATCCAGGCCCCGCGAAGCCCGGGGCAAGCCTCCCACCGCCCTGCGCCGCGCCGGACTCCGCCTCGCGCCCTCCGGAGGGACTCGCGGCGAGGCGCCGTCGCTGGGCGGCCGGCCGGCTGGCTGGCCTGCCCGGCGCGGGGACCGGCCG